GTTTTACATCATTATGCATTTTATGAAGGAATATACTGCCAGCGTGAATACCAAATATCGAGCAATGAAATTTAATATAATTCTTTTAAAGTTATGAATATTATCTGTGTGTCTTAACTAAATAACGTTCATGTACAATGTACATGATAAAAAATATTATAATTTGTGTATGCAAATATATTATTTATATTGCATACTTTGATAAAATAATTCTATTATTTATATTTGAAAGTGGTTTAAAGTAACTATTATAATAATTTTACACCATGCTGTATGTACTGTATATTAGTAATTACGTCATTCAAATACGTAAACTTGCCGTAATATAGAAACATATTATTGTTCAACCTATAATATGATAAATTAATTGCATACAGTAAATTACGATAATATTCATCTAATATTTAAACACATATTATTTATGATTATGTTTAAACAGTTATTTTTTGAATATTGATGCGGTGATATTTTATGTGAAATTATGAAAACATGTATAAACTAAATATTTATCAAAACATCACATACTTAAGTAAACAGTTTTTTCAAATAGCATTATATACATAAAAAACATCTTTTATCGTCAATAGATAATAATATTTCTTTTTACAGACTTTAATTAATGTCAGTTAACTTAATTAGAGTAAATTTTTGTTTTTATTTTTTTAATACAATTTACATATGATTTTAAAATATTAGTACTTATGAGCTGCAAATTAATTAAATAATAAAGTTTAAGTTATACATTTAAGTATTTTTATCAATTATGTAAGAAAACTAAATCGAAGACTGAATTAGTGTTTAATTGTTTTTAATGGTGTATTGGTAAAATATTTATAATATTTTTATTCGGTATACAGAAATTGTTAATAGTTTTAAAATTCATTTTTTTCTTTTTTTTGCCCCTAAAGAATTTAAAAAAATGAATATGTTAGTTAAGGCGGTGTATTATTCAATCAATAAATATTCGTTAAAATTAGTATTATAAAATTTTCGTAGTACATTCTAAGAAATATTAACATTTTTTTAGTTGTTATTTTTAAATTTACTTAGTAGGTACAGTTTTATAAAGTACTTAAATATACTTTACCTTTTGATTTTAATTAATAATAATTCAAATTTACTTAGGTTAAACATTAAAAAAAATGTACATACATATTCGTATTGATTCTGTTTAAGTACCTAAATAAATATTTTAATATTTTATTTTATCCACAGCTATTAAAATGTATAGTATAGCAAAGAATTATTTATATTCACCGTTTTTTCTATATTTTATTGTATTCATTCATTGTATGTTAAGAATGTTCGAATTAAAATTAAATTCTCGTGTATAAAAACCTATTTGGTTTGAAAAATATATGCATATACAAATTAAATACTATAAAAATGTATGTATTATATTATGGGTTACAAGATTAAAGAAAATTTTAAGCATTATATCCAACTTAAGCTAAAATATAGTATTTATATAACTATTATAAAAAATTTAAGTCGAGAACTTATAATAATTTTGTCATGGTAATTTTGTGCACTAATATGAAAAAATGTTTACGCTTTTATTTTCAATGTCTGAACTTTTGACTATATTATGTCGTGTATTCAATCTACAGGGAAATTAATTTTGATAATATTCAATATTGTTAGATTATTTTTTATAGATTATAAATACAAATATATAGTTAACATAAAATAACATTTGATTCATTATATTGAAATTCAATATTTTAATTTAGTGTACTAGATATTGTTTATCATCCATAAAAGGCTACGGTATAGTATAGTATAAATAAATAATTATTTATTTTATTTTGTAAGTAGAATTTTTAATAATTTAAATTTTAAATAAATTAATTCTTTTCAATATAGTATCTAAAGCATAGTAACAAAACTACCTATACTTATGTTTTGATTTAGTTTTTATACCAAAAACTCAATAAATACAAAATATCGATTTACAGGAAATTGAAAAAAAAAAATTGAATACGATAATATTATTGTCATCGGCCAAAAATTATAATAATATTATAGTTTAATACATATATTAATGTTTTGAAGCGTGTTTATGATATTTTGTTTTTGTTATTTTAATGTATTACTCAATAAATTAATATTTTTGATATCTACGTTCATAATATTATTATATATCACTCACAATATATAGTTCATATAGGTATTACAAAAGGGTAGTCATTACTTTCTATCTAATAATTTTATTTTGTTGTCACGCATGGTTTTCTTCAGTTTGTCAATATTATTTAAATTATAAATGTAAAATATTTGAATGAATGTATTATATTATTTTTAATTTATTGCAATTTAATTAACATTATAATTATACGTATACATGGATAATGGAGGAAAAAACTAATTTATTAGTATAATGGCTCAGCAAACATTAATAAACGTACTTTTATTACTAAAAACTGCTGTGAACTATCTCAATTTCAGAACACAATGTTATTTTTATATCTAATATTATTTCTTTAAAAAATATATTCTTTTGTTACTGGTTTTGAATTTTTTATAAAATATTTATGAAACAACCAGAATTGTAAATTATACCACGGACAGAGTGAATAAATATGTTTAAAGTAAATGCGTTGTTTTCTGTATAAACTCATAATCAATAAACTCTTGATAAAAGTCACGTTATTAAAAGCAAAATTTTAAAAATAAACAGTTTTTACAAGAAAACCACAAAAATAATTGTGATTATTGTGCTCGTTGATATTGCGCGTTTTTCTTGTTGGCACATTTTCTAAAAAAAAAAAAAATAGCTCCTCACAGTTTCATGGGGTCAAATACGTCCTTGCGTGAGTGGAGTAGTGTGGGAATAAAACCCGCCTCGCTAGTGAACTACAATAGTTATGACGTATGAATACGTGATTTAAGGGTTTCACGGTTGGAGTACGGTATATTTTTCGGGCGCACGCAATATACACTTAGAGTAAAGTGAAAACGACTAACCGCAAATAAACCAAATGGACCCACAACTCTATGGTTTTTGGATCTTTCGTACATATCATGATTGCCATAAATGTTATGACCATCTCTTAAAATTAGAATGATTATTCATAGTTTCGATACCTGTAGGGTATACACAAGGCATCTAATTATGCAACGCTGTGTCTATGTAATAATTACACAAGTCAAGTCAAATTAACTAATGTAAATAAACATCTAAACAAAAATCATATAGTTTAGTCAAAATATTTTAAGTTAAAAATAGAGGTAATTTTTATAACATGAAATTTAAATTTAATTCATACTATTATTTATTTGAACGCAATTATAAATCAATTGTTATAAGTGAAGTCAAGTTAAAAACCATATTTGTATGATATTAATTCTAAAAATTCAAAGAAAATTGAAAAAAATTATGAAAAATTATCTTATTAATTATTCAGTTATGTGTTAGTTATATATAAAAATTAATGTTGAGCCTTTTAAAGTTTTTTCTATTACCTATTAGAAACTGTAGGGTATACATATAAGAAAACATGAAATAGATGAAACTATGCTAGTTATCAGGGTTTATAATTCAAAATGTATTAACATTTTTTTTTAAAGACATTTCGTTTAAAAATGGCAATTTAATCAGTATAATATGTATGATGTTTAATATTATTCAAATACCTAAATATTTGATATAAAAGTAATAATTATTATTATACTCTTATAATAAATAACTTCAAACGTATCTCTAAGTATAGTTGAAGATGTGTGATATTATTATGATTTCGTCAAGTGCCAAACTAACTGATCTCGTAATAGCTAATAATACACTCGCATGATTATATGATTATTGCATTTTTCCGTAAGGTGGTCCTCAATAAACTTATTGATAGAAGACGTTATCGAGTTAATCAATTGGAAATTCAATACACTTGATATTTTACATAGGTAAATTTATTAATTTTATCAGTAATGCTTAACTATTTGTCGATAAACACAAGATGAAAAAGTATATACACGATGGCACCTAAAAAAAGTAAGAAATATTTAAAAATAATTATAAATTCGTAGTTTCGAATTTTCATTCGATTATGGTTAATAACTAATAAATTTAAATTAGTTATAACAAATACAATTACTATAAATAATTTTAATACATAAAATAAGTGAAAGACAAATATCTGGTTTTATTATATTTTTATGCTGCCTGATTGTTATATTTATTTAACATTTATACCAAATCGTAAACCATAATATATTATAAGTAATATGTTTTTTTTAAGTTTTAAATGATTTATTGAGTGCTTTTGTAAATGAAATAAGTTGGAACTGCTAAATATTTCTATTCTTAATTTTTTCTCTAATAATTAACAATATTTTTTGGAAATAAAAATTGCTATAACCATGTCTAAACTTAATATAATTGTTGTAGCTAATATTTGTTTAATAAAAATACACGCTAGATCATTACAATTTTACAAGCCTTTAAGTTAATGTGCTTATTTGTATTGGTAACGTTTTAAAAAACATGTAATGCAAAAACAAATATTTTTTGGACTAAATTTGACTTTTAATAGCAACTTTAACGTTTATAGTACGTTTATAATATATATAATATTTTTGATATTATTTCATAACATGACTCACATAATTCTTTTCAAATAAAAACCTATAAGAACTATATAAAGACTATTATTTTTTTAACTTTTAATTTAAAATTAAATAAATAAGAATAAGATACATGACAAATTAGTTAGAAGAAAACAATTGTTTACTATTGTAACATAAAAACTAAAACTAAAAATATTGCAATGTAATTAATAAACATGTTTTAAGATAATTATTATTAATAAATAGTTAAATGAAAAGAAAAAATAATAATAATAATGATCATAAATACTACAGCTAGAATGTTAGAAACACTTTTATAATTAATATCTTAATCATCCCATTTTTATAAAATTATATAAAAAAAAAAAACTATGTCACTATATAAAATTTTGATAGTTTTTAATAATATGTTATAATATGGTTTTTTTTTTCAGGTCCAATCTCATTACAAACAAAATGTAAGTAATCCAACTTAATTTTTCTCTTTAAGTAGGTATGCAAATATTAATTTATGTTATCTTAATATTCATATTTATGTACATTATTTATATTTACTTAAAATAAATAAAGATCTATGAAATTAATAAATACATTTTAGTAGCCAAATGTTTTTTAGAAAAATATAAATGGTATGATAATAATTACTAACATATATTAATAATAACGTTATTATCATGGTTAAAATGCTATCTTATCATCAATAAATAAATATTTATTATAATTTATAACCATTAATCCTATCCTAGTATATAAATATATATATATATATACAGTAACAATCAATATAAATTTACCCTAGATCTACGTAAAATTTTATCATAGTACTTTATAAATATTTCTATGATTGTTGTCAATTCACTCAAATATTGTAAAACTAATAAATTTTATTATTTTCAATTCATACAATTTATGGTTGTAATATTTACATTATGGTACTTAGTTATTTTGAGTTCTAATTCATTGTTTTGTATTTTATTTTTTTTTATTCAAGAAAAATCTGTATTATAATATTTTATTTAAAATACAGAAGATATACTTTCAATAACAAATACGCTTTATGAATGAATGCAGTGAATTGAAAGATTTATGTAGAGGTATAATATACGTCTTATTAATCAAATATATTCGATTTGAATTATAATATGCTTATATTTCAATAAGTTTTTTAGTATTATTAACATTATAGCATAGTGGTTAGGTTAGGTACTTCACTCGAAGTAAATTTAAATAAACTTAAATTTTTGTATTGTGTAATAAGTAAAAAAATAGATTTATACTCGTTTTTATTGAATATTTGGAACTTCAATAGAAGATTACTTTTAGTTAAAGATAGATTGTTTAAAGTCATATATGTTTGTAATTTTGGTATGATTAATTCATATAATAAAAGTACATTTTAACGATGTTTTGTGTATTTGGGTATTATTCAGTTAAATAAAACGCTGGTAGTTCATTTAATTATCTACCTATTAAACATGGTAAATTATTTTATCAATACATTTAGAATTTATTTATTCTAGTTGTTATGAATGTGAGTTATTGAAAATATGAATATTGAGTAAAAAAACAAAAAAACATTAAAAATGAAATACTTCAAATAAATACTCAAATGAACATTAAAACTTATTTGACCAAATCTTTCAAAATGTATTTAATTGTTTCAGTTATTTAGTTGTTAGCTAATTTCTTGCTAAAAATCAGTAACTTATTAATTAAATAAAACATAATTCACTGAAACCTCAAATATTTATTTGTTTTTATTCACTATAGATTCATATATATATTACTTTAAACAGGGATGTTTTTCTTCAAATGCAACAAAAAAAAAAAAAAAAAAAAAATGAAAAATGTATTTAAATATTAAGTTAAGGTGATAAAAATCGTAAAAAAATAATATTATTATTTAAAATAATCTATTTTTATTGTATCAGTTATAAAAAAAAAATAAAAATATGAAAATATATAAATATAAAAAAATATATGAATTGTTGAGTATCTACGAATATTAGCTAAAAATATAAACTTAAGCAATGTTATTAATAATTTATTTACCATAATATTATCATATTTTTGTTTTATTGACTAGTTATATATACTAACACCTATTTTGTATTGACTTATTATTATAAAATTAACATTTTTTTTTTTAAATTTTTTATATAATTGTGTACCTATTATTTATATGAATATATAAAATATATTATTTATCTAAAACTAATATTTCTAATAATAATTAAACATTATAAAATATAAAAAAAATTAAATATTTTTAAATAAATATAATTTTATCATGTATATAGATGTTTTATTCTCAGTTTACGAACTACTAATTAATTCTATACCTACGAAAAGCAATTAGTGAGAAAATTCTTGAGAGGCAACTCATATATATTTATGAATTATCTACTTGGACATTTGAAGCAAATAGTATACATTAACTTTTTTATCAACGATAAAATTAGAAGGAAATTCGTATATTTTGGGAGGCAACTTTTATGCATCGATTTTTAGAGTATTATATTTAAAATCACATATTACTCTATTTAAATCAACTTAAAATAATGTGACTTTTATTTATATTCAAAATAAATAATACATCTCTATATCATTTAAAAATATGTATTTATTTGTGAACGTGTATTTCTTTATTGCAAGACATCATCATATATTTACCAAATCATTTTCAGAATCTCCAATGTATATATTTTCTTCAATTAGCCTATTCATCTTGTTTATAAAAAAAAAAATAACCTATTAAGTATTACTAAGTAAAAAATATTCTTGCATTACTTTTTGATATCTGAATGATTCAATTTTAAAATATTTTATTTCAGAAACTTAAGTATTTTTTAGTATTATTTACATAGCATATATATTGAGTAATTGATTTTGCTTAGAATTTATCTTCACTACTAAGTAGTCATTACAGTTTCAATGGTAGTGAATTATTCCCCATGTTAGTCTTATATATTTCTGTATGGTATTATATATTTTTTAAATATAATCCATTATTGAAAAAGACCACTATTTTGTTTATTATTTCAAATTTATATGATATAATGTATTTACAATATAATATGACATATTTAAATTTATTTTCAGTGTAGAATTTTTGAAACCTAACCTTCAAAATATACTCTATGGCCTATAAAGTTCACAAATATGAAACAGAATATTTTGTTTATATTTCCCGTGATTTTTTTAATTTTTGTCTATTGAATTGGTAAATTATGTTACTTAATTTAATAGAATTGCAATATATCTATATACTTGTAGATTTTTTATATTAACTAAAAAAAAAAAAGACTTTTCATGTTTGAGATAACTCACTGACAATTATATAAACAGATATTGTCTGGTATGTATAAGTCATAATAGTAGGTACAATTTTATTTCCTTAATGAACATAGTATTTTTATAATTTCTATAGCTTGACCTCACCACAATAAAATTACACAAAAAAAGCTGTCGTAAATATAAAACCATTAAAATATTTTATACTTTCAGTTGTATTACTCAGTATATTATTAATATAATTCTAGACAATTTAATATATTTCAGTATTTTAGTAGTATTTTTTCTCATAAATAATATTGAATGTTCTTTAACGTGTACAATTTAATTTAATATTTGTACCACGATGTGAAAGTGTCTAAATCCTATTTTTATGTTGCATTGATTTTAAGCAAGCTTTGAACCGCATAAGTAATATGGCATATGTTTTGCAAGAATGTGATCAATTCTTTATTTTCTAAATATTTAATAGTATTTCTGTTCGATCAAAAGCAGGGTTGATAAGATTTTCTCACTTATGTAAAATCCACCTTTAACAAAATATTTTCCATTAGTGTTAAATTTTGGCTGTTTGTAGATAATAAATGAGCTTTAAGTATTTAAATACGACAAAATGTTATATTTATAGCATGCAATTTAGTGTAGTAAGGTATTATGACGACAAAGTTATGTGTTAACCTAGAACTTTTGAAACTAAGTTATTTTAGATGTTAACTATAGATATTTCACTACAATATTTTTTATTTTTAAATTAATTATATAAATAATCTTATTCATTAATCATTTATTTGTATTCATTGTATATTATATTATACATATTATTTAAATGTATATTAAAATTATTAATATGCATATGTATATTTTGCATCAACAATTAGATTTCTGAATATTTTATAGTGAAAACAACGAATTAAATTTGCGTATTAATTAACTTACCCAAAATTAAAATCAATAAAATAAATTATAATATATAAGATTGATTTATTTTAACGATCAAGTAGTATAGATAAAAATATTTTAATTTATGCTGTTTTTTTTAAAAATAATATGGTTCAATACAAAGATAAAAAATTATGAAAAATAAATTAATATAATATCTGTATTTACTTTTATTTTAATAAAAATATAATGATTATATGTCACAAGTAATAGTAGAAATCTTTAACAGATTCATGCATGTTGAGTTTAATTTTATGCGGTTATTATTTTTATTTTCTTCAACGAATGAACATAAGTTAATTGTTAGGTGTCGTTTGTGATAATTCTTTGCTCTCAATTTGTATTTAAGCCATTAAATCATTAACTAATTGAATAATCGTACAGATTATAAATATTTTCCAATAAAATAAATTATAAATGTTTTATTTCTAAGAAATGTACAATAATTCAATACATTTTTATCTTTTTATCTAGAAGGAAATAGTAAAATCGCCACAAAGTGTATTTTTAAGCAGATTATATTTAAATTATTTGTAACATATCAAGTGATATTTGAACTTGGTTATTGAATAGTTTATGTTTATATATTAATGTATTATTAAATAGATTTAATAATATTTAAAACTATGATAATTTGAAAATTCTTGTAAAAAATTATTGATTTTATTAGCATTTGATATTTATAAAGATTTTTAAATAACTTAACTAATAAGTACAAAACTGAAAATTAAAAAAAATACTGTATATTTATTGTGAAACTATTATTAAGGATTGTATTTTTATAAAATATAGTTTAATAAAAAAAAACTACTAATTCAATTATATATTAAGTAATTATTATTATAATTGTTCAAAAAAAAACGTGCTTAACAATATGAAGTGAACCTTGTTTGATTTGAATAACAATAATAATAAAAAAACTACCATAGTAATTTTTATAAATATTATAATCATAAAAGTATCCGATACTATTATGGATTTTAAGAATATATACTTAAAAATTACAAAAAAAAAAAAAAAACAAGAAATATAATGAAGGCATTTTTAATGGATAATTTAGTATGGATATAGGCTTGGTAAATTCTCTGTACCTATATAAATATTTTATTATACAATTATATTTAAATTAATATCAGTAAAATAAACAATAAAAAATATTCGTACATAATAATATGAATGTTATTTGAACGTTGTATGATATTTTGATTTAATATAACTTTCTTTA